GAGCTTCGCAAAAAGCGCTCCCAAACAAAAATATGTAGTCTTTACCAAAGCCGGTACAGGTAAGTGACGTGCACCCTTTAAGGTTGAATTGATTGTCTATGCCAAGTTGGTCGTCATGTGTCCATATCAATATCCATCATCATATGCGTTCGTCCACATTTATTTATCGATGAGGCTGATGTAATCGTATCATTCCTCGTTCTTCTCCCGTAAATCTTGAAGCATTGATTCAAACGTTCGAGGAAGAAGTTCGTAACCTGGTCAAAAAATGTATAACTTACTAACCAGATCAAAAGGATCGAAAGAAAACATACTACATCAGTTTTACTTACCCATGCGCACAAGTAATTGACGCTCATCATTCTTCTTGTATCTTCTATGGTAGTTCACAGCAATGTGTCGGAGACAATACCGATGTTGGACAAATACTCCATTGCTGCTTTGATCCCAGCTCCACGATCTGAAATGACACAGATTTTTTCCCTCGTGATAACATGTGCATGTAAATTTGGAGGGAAAAGCCCAAGAATCTGTATATTCTCATTCGACAAGAGTAAAAGCAACTGGAAGAATGTTGCGATTGTCATCTTAGACAACTCCAATAATAAAACTTGCTTGTATTTTTCATACAAGAAAGTCTCGTCGATCTGGACCACTTGCAGTATTTGACAGCATTAACGCACTGTGGGTAACTCCAAAAAACTCGGTAGAATTGGCATCGATCGCGGAGAACTCGATCATTATGGTATGCATAGGAGGTTTCGAAGTCCATAATTGTCCCAAGATTCAACCTCCATACCAGCCTAAACCAGCCTGGAAGTTCGTTGTAAGATGCATCCCATTCGCCATGGAGTTTGACAATGACATTTTGTTTTACCAACCAAGCTTTTTTATAGGAGACAGTGTACCCATACTGCGATTGTATAGCTGAAATCAACACAACAACAACTATATGAGAGCTTGCTTTTACCATGGGCATGATGGCTTGGCATATCACTTCCGAGTCCAAGTTGGGATGATCTTGGTTGACCCCTCTAGCACAATATGTGTGAGGACCGTTGTATATTGTTAGTTCACATCTGTTGTTTTTCCTCTTTGATACACGAACCATCCAATTGCATCGTTTTTGCGTCGGGCACAGTAGCATACATAATTTTCTATCATGGAGCGGTCGACTCTCGATTGAACATAATTACGGATATTGTAATTTTTTATAGCCATCATCGCTTATTCTTTGCTTGAAACTCCATGCCTAAATATAACTCATTGTTATTATTGATGAGTAATATCCATAGTCACCGAGATGAGGCATATCCGCAAATTCTAACGCATACATTACACCATAATCAGCTTCATACATGTGTGCTGGAGGGTCAGTTTGTGCCACATTTGCTGGAACTTCATCCACATCATCATCATCATCGGAGTTGAATTGCGGTGATTTGGGTGAATGAATAGTCCAGTCTCAGCACCATCCGCACCAGGCTCAAGAAGCGATTCTTCTGGTGGAGATGATGGTTCCTCCATGCTCTCCACATTTAGGTCGAAGAACATACTACTTGCACGCCTTTCCCTTGAACTGTAAGGCATATCGACATTCATATCGAAAAAGCTCGCAGTCGAATGCCTCCCCTGGAGCTTGAAGCCATCATGTCAAATGGAAATTGCACAGACTGTTGCGTCGATGGCATCTCCATATTAAGGTCAAAGGGATTTGCAGATGAATGTTTTCCCCTTGAACTAGATGCGATGTTGCCATACGGATTGTTCGTCGACCCACATCGGTACATATCGTAAGGAGTTGCGGATGAATGTCTCATCATTATGGCATTAAAATCATTACACATTACTGTCGTCGAGCTGTCAACTTGTTCAGCCAGCCCATAGTGGGAGCTTAATGATTGACCCCGAACAACACGCACTTGAACAAACTTTGCATACATCTCAATATCGCCGTCTGAATAATTACTTTGAGAATCAGCCATCATTTCAACATCATCATTGTTCAATAGTTCGAATGTTGTATAAGTTAATGTGAACAATAATGTTGGAAATCTGTACTGCAACGACGACATTCTTCTACTATTTCTAACATGAATCTTCCTCGAAATCTTCGTTATCAACTCTTCAAGAGTTATGTTTCTCTTAATGATATTTTAACACGCTCATTTGATACGAAAACAACGTCGGTTTCATCTTCTCGAATTTCACCATCATAATAAACAATAGCTAAAAGTCGCGCATTCTTTGAGTTTAAAAGTGCGGCAATATTATATCTAAAAAACAATTGAAACAAAATTGATTAAATAAATAATATATGAACGAAAATATAACACAATAAATTTTTTACACATAAACGTAAATAATTTAAATAATATAATTTTATATTATTACCTGTACCGCAAAACTATTTCAACGTATGCTCCCGCTTTCTAATTTTACAAACACATAAATTAATTGACAACAATTAGTATAATATTTTTTCAAATAATCATAACAAACAATAAGTATAATAAAAAAATATCACAAAATTACCTAATAACGAAAAATCGCATGAACTTCTGAATCAAATATGAAAAGATTGTCGAATTATTGTATTAAATTTTTATAATCGAGAGGAGATGTGACGAGTTACCAGGGGAAAGGATATTTATAGCCAGGAAAAGCTACAAGATGCGGTACCTGCACCGCGTCTTATATAATTATATAAGATAAAGCTAAGACGCAGCCCCTAGTCCGCGCCTAACATAATTGTGTTAACGGTAAGGCGCGGTCCTTCCCCGCGCTATACCCTACGTGGCCTAAGGGCATCTCAGGGGCCGCGCTATACACGTGTATCATGTCAGCATAAGGCGCGCCTCATGGGGCTCGCCTTACCCACGTGACGTCAAATCAACGTTAAGCGCGCTGTAGGGGCACACCTTTCTGCAAAAGATGTTATATTAGAAAATATAATCTGAACGGTACTGATCAAAAAAAATAGTGGACAGTGATATATCAGAAAATCCCAGGCAAAATTCTTATTTTTCTTTCTTTATTTAGGCACATCGGTTTAGGCGTTGTTTTTATTTCCTGGTATTAATTGTTGCAGGAAAAAATGGCTTGGGATAAAAATTTATAATATAATTCATTTTGAAGATTATTTTTTTATTTAGGTTAATTATATAATATTAATTTAAAGATATCATGTGTTTCACGCGTCTTCAAATAAAATATAGATTCTACGATTATATAACGTCTTCAAATTCAAGTTAAATATAAAGACTCTACGATTATATAGTGTCTTTAAATAAATGAAGATGATCCTATAACAGTATGATATCTTTAAATAAATAAATAAAAATTCTAAGAGTTTATGATATCTTCATATCAATAAAAAAATTATAATTAAAAAATAATATGATGAATATTTTATATAATAAAATCATTTTCCCGATAATTCTATATAGGTGGGGAAGCCACTGTTGCAGTTGATGATCTGTCTTCCACTCACGTTTCTGAACAGAATCAATTTTGTGGTTTTGTGGTTTTTTTTATTTTTCTTTCAATAAAAGTTGGCGTTTCACGTGTCAAAAAATATATAAAATATATTCAATTAAAAGTCAACCATTAAAATTATTTAAGTGCTCTCATATTTCCTAATTGACTTAGGTATGAAAATTCATTAAGCTATTTTAATTTTTTTACATTAACTACAATATATATATATATATATATATATTAAATATGAGATTTGACTCAATGATTAGGGTGGAATTAATTCCCTAATTCTCAAGTTTGATTTCTCTTAATAAAATTCTTCTTTTCTTTATTTTCTTTTAATTAGATGATGATGTGTGACACAATTCAAAAATTAAAGTAAAATGATGATTAAATTAATAAATATTTTAAAAATAAATACAAAATATGTTATTATGCTATAATTAATATCATTTAGATAGAATTATAGTTAAAGCTGAAGTTGTTATTTGTTCACCCAAAAAATATCATTAAGATATTTTTTTAATAGTTAAATGATTACGATGTAATATATGTTTAAAATCTTTCTTAACTATTGACAATACACACTCTACAGACAATTTTGCTCGAATTTAGGACCTCTAAAAAATAACATTTTCTTTTATCATTGAGGTTGCTTAATGAATTCATATCATTTAGATAGTTCAATAACATGATTGAACAAATTAATATATCAACAATCAAATTAGAACTATTTTATAATTAAGTGATCGATTATGTAGTTTACCTAGATTTTAATTATTTAAATTAGTCTACAAAATTTTTAATTAAAATTAACATTGACGTGTTAACATATCACATTTTAATATAACATTTTTGTTTTAATTTCTAATGTACCATATTATTTTATATATACACACGATATATATATGATTATCACATAATATTTAATGAATTTTTATATCTTATCTATTTATACTGTGCAATGTTCATTAATTTTAAAATCATTAAACAAATTTATATATATATTATAACGATATTTTATTTTTTAAAAAATATAATATAATATAATTTTAATTTTAATAATCTATTTAAATTTAAATTTAAATTGATCATCAATAAATTGAAAATGCAAGAAAAATCAGAGGTAGCAAATGAATCGGATGCTGGTATCTAAGAATCTAAAAGCCATATAACAGCGGCGGAGGAGAGGTTTTTATCCGTCTCTCTCTCCATCTCTCATTCTATTTTACTCACTCCTCCATCTTTATTCTAATTTCTTCCATTTTCGTATCTAATAATCTCCGAACCACACACACCACCGCTGGAGAGGGTTTTCTCTCTCTCCATCTCTCATTTCTATTGCTCAGGTTCCTTTTCTTTTTTACTCATCAAACTCTTCCTTTTCTATGCTTATTTGCTTCTTATCTGATTTTTTTCATCATGATTCTTCTCTTTCTCTAGTAAATTTTCGAATTGGGTTTTCTTTTCCTAGGCTTGGCCTTTGTCCCTTGGATCTCTCACATTTCGCTGGGATAGTTTGAGACGAATGAGTTTCTTTTAGGGTTTTCTACGGATGGAGCACCTATACTCGTTTTATGCTTTTTGATGCTCTTCTGCGCTAGATTTGATCTTCCCCGTTGATGTTGCTCCTTTAATGATTTCCTCTGTTCCTTTCCTTTGGTATTGAATCCTTTAGATCGTTTTGGGAAGAGTTACTATTGCTTTGGGCATTCTCCCTTCTTTGTCTTATTTTTTTAATGTTTTGGGAATTGAGGTTTGATCTTTGAATAATCCTGGTAATTGGGCTAACTTTCTCCATCGAATTGGGGATTGGCCACTACAAAACTATAATTGTTATTATGCATACGAAATTTCAAATTATTTTGCTGCAAGAGGCACGCATCTAGGATTTTGAAGATATACTTTCTCTCCAACTTTTTCTGACAGTTTGGTTCCTTTTTGAGGATGGATCCTTTGCTTTGTCCTGAGGGTTGAAACTTAAGTGTTAGCTTCGTTTGTGACTTTTTTTTGGTTGCTGAACGGATTGTGTATCCAATGGAAAAGGGGAGTGAAAACATGCACTTAGAGGACCCTTCGTTTATTGGAATGGATACGGAGGAAAGTGAAATGGGACAACGAAACAGTGAAATTCAAGGCTTTCGATTGGAAAAAGGTGATGCAAGTAATGTGGTTTTCTCAACCGAGGTACCCCTTGTAAATAAAGAGTCATCAACGTCTGGTAGTTGTGGTTGTAGTCTGAAGAAAATCAAATCTAGGGTAGCTGCAAAAGACACTGAGTTCTGCCAGAAGGACAAATCTGGGCATGACAAGAAAGTCAGCCGACAATACAGGATTGAGTTGGGCCAATTATTTCAGGGAGCCGTCAGTTCCCATGATTGGGAGCTTGCTGAGAGTTTAATCTTGTCGGCAGATCCACAGACTCTAAATGATGCATTGTGTGTCACCTTGGATGCAATCTGGTTTTTGAGCACCCATCAGGAGCTTTATGGGATCACTGAGTTGATTAAGAAGATCATTGCTAATGGTGCTTATGACTTCACTAGAGCCGCTCTCCGGACTTCATTTCTTGCTTCTTGTGTCTCAGCTTGTCAGAGTCGCACGATGAGTCTTTCTGACACTGTAACTGTGATGGCTCGGAGGTAAACAAGCTGTTTATATGTGGGTGAATACTAGTCTTATTTCTAGTTTCTTAGAAGACGAATTGCCATTCTATACTCCTCTGATAGCATCTTATAACTATCTGCAACATTGAACTTCAAGTTTACTCGCTAATGATTTATGCCTTTATGTATTTGAGGAAACTTGTTTCTTGTTAAGGCTTTACTTTTGTTGGACATGTTTGTTGTGATGTTTGTGCTATACTTTAAATATTGAAAATTCTCTGTTAATGGTATCATGCATGCTGTTTGACATGCTTGTTATGCTATATCAGTTGCTATGTATAATTACGCTTAACAATCAGGGAACTGTTCTTTTTTGTATCATTATACCCACTGCACTTATGTTCATTGTAAAAGAGAATGCTTAACATCATGCATTTCTTGCTGCTTCTGGCCTAGTTAGTTTCTGAGAATTGATTATGTAAATATGATTGAATGAGCCTTCATCCCCCCACCCCCAACACAATAAAGTAAGCTTTGAATTCAACTCACACAAATGGCTTTGACTTAGTTTTTTGAATTTGGAGCATTTATATGTGGTTCGTAATAAGGAACACACTTAATGTTGGTGTAAAGAAAGATACATATAACTTACTTGGTCTGTTTTATTTCATTGGTTTCACAATTGCTGGAAAGAAATGAACTTGGTAAAATTACTGCTTGAATGATTTTTTCATGCCATATGAAACACTCTGTGGTGTCATCTGTAAAGCATGGGACAAAAATGGACTTCACCTTTGTTTTCTTCTCATTTTTGTAGAAGACCTCGTCTAACTGGTTTTTATTGTGTGTGTGCCAATTTTTCGTTTTGGTTAATTAGGTTGCATGAGCGCCTCCAAGAATGCCATGGGGATGAGATCTTGAAGGCAGAAGCTGGTGCCAAGGTCCAAAAGTTCACTGAATGGGCTTTGAAATGTATAGGTTCCCATTCTCGTTGTCAGGGGAACAATGATAGAGTGAATCATTGCTCAGCAATTGAAATCCAACTCCAGTTAACTGCGTTTAAGACATTCCTAGATCTTGCTGTCAATCAACTTACAGGAAAGGATTTTACTGAAGCATTTGATGCAGCTTGTTTTCCTCTTACTCTCTTCTCTAGTTCGTTTGATGCTGGTTGGGCTTCTGGGATCTCAGCCACAGTGATTCAAGGATTGTTGGATATGTTGGTGGAGGGGGGTGCGGACAATGTTAACCAGTGTTTCCTTGAAGCCTCTCGGTTTGGTAGTACAGAACTTGTCCGCATTTTGTTGCAGGTGTGTATAATTTCTTTTGAATGGTTTGACTTTTGCTCTTTATTTCCAGGCCCAAGATTTTCTTTTGTGCAAAGGAATGGGTTGAAACTTATGCTTCAAATTAATTGGTGAAAGGAAGTGTATATAACTGTTTGGCTATGTCAAAAACTAATTAGTCAAAATTTTAATGCTGCAATATTTTTTGAGTAATAACATCAATCAGTTGGGTTCACCCTGCCTACATGATTTCCCTGTATTTTTAATATTATAACAAGCAAAAGTCTTCTTCTTATGTGGTCTTGAGTTTTTTATGGGATATTATCGAACCTTTTTTAAGAACTGCTAGTGGATTTCAAAATTCAAATGATAAATGTCTGTGTGTCTCTGTATGTGCACGTGTATGTGTGAATTCTGTGCCTACTTCTAAGTTCTGTTAGTGGCGTATCTATATGTTCTTTCTTTTTAGAAGAGAGATGATCAATGCCAACATTTTCAAGTTACTTTGCAATTTCTTCATGATTTTGTTGAACCTGTAACTAATTTGAATCATGATTTGTTTTAATGAAGTGAACAAAAATCTCATTCTACTTGGTGATTGTTTCTCACGGTTTATCTTGTGGACAGTACATGTTTCTTAGTTGTTTTTTAACAAAATCTCACTCTATGCACTTTAGATATGGTTACCTGTAGTCATGGAATTATTCAGGGTTCTTGCATGTAAACTAATTTCAATTTGGAGATATCAGGGGTAATGAAGTGGTAGTCTAAATCCCCTACATAAGCAGAAGTTTTGCAGAGTAAATATTGTCTGAACTAGTCATAGCATTTCATTTTATTCTTATACTGTTTAAGACTGATATTCTCTGTCACTCTAGGGAATCCCAAGTATTTAGATTGAAAAACATGCAAGTGAATGGGAATGCTCCACTGGGAGAATGTACTGGTTTTTTCCTATTTGACCCTAACAGATTCCATGGAAAACACAAATTGAGGAACCAAAGCTAGAATCACTCCCTGATTTGATTTTTTACTTTTTCTTGTAACCATGGAAAGTCCGGTGTGCTTTTACTTTCTTTTTTTTTGGCTATAAGAGTATTTTTTCTCTTTTTTCCTTCTTTTAATAAGAGAAATATAATCGTTGTTATTATAATTACTAGACTGTATACTGACATTTCCTTAATTGTCCTTGTTGGGTCATGTGATAATTGTCTGGTCTAGATTGCCCAACGGAATAGCTTGGATGTAGATGTCGATCTTGCCTTGGGTTTTGCCTCACATTACTGCAAGATTGGAACGATGGAGTGTCTGGTAGAAGAAGGTAATGCCATGGCGTTTTTGGGCCCTCTAATGAGAGCAGCTGAAAGAGGATGCATGCAGGTTGTGCAGTGGTTTGTTAAAAGAGGTTGTCTAGACATGGAGCTCTGTCTGGCCCTTACTGCTGCTACTTCCTGCAGCCAAGTTGGTGTGGCTGCATATCTCCTCCCCCATGTTCCTAAGCATGTTCTGACGGCTCTAAGCATTGAAATTCTCAAGGCTGCGGGTGAACGAAGTGGTGGATCTCTTGATGGTGTTGCATTTCTCCTCCGATCTGACTTCTTAGGTGATCCTGCTGCTACTTATGCTGTTGCAGACAGCATTGCTAAGTCCAATGATGAGGCTGTTGCCCCTGATCTGAGGGCATTTGTCCAAGAGCATTGGTCAGAGGAAGCTTTCTTGGATGGATTAAAACAAGGGCAAGAACATTACATGAATCTAATGAGGATTTTGAAGAGGGGGGAGTCTCCAATTTGCTTAAGGGATCTACCAGCCCCATTGAGGGTGGGAATCGCATACATGCTGCTGTACAGGGAGTGTATTGAGGTGGGTGGTCGTCTGTTATCACAAAGGCTGAGGGGGCAGCTTGTCGAAGCTGTTCGAATGCTAGAAGGTGGGGCATCAGAAGAGGTTAATCAAGGCAGAGAGCTTTTAGATATTTTGGAGCATCATCTTCCTCCATTTTTGGTCCGTGTTCTCAGTGTCGGTTAGCAACAACTTATCTGCTAGATTTTCGCTTGTCCTTTATCCCTATAGTGAGTGTCCCATGTGGCATATTTAGTAGTACTGTTTTAGCAGCAGTTGGTACGTCACAAAGCTTCCAAGTTTGCCAAACTTTCCTGTGATTTGGTTTAATGTATGAAGTCGGCCCGCCGCGCTTGTATGGCACCCGTATCAATCTAGTGGATATGTTGTTCATCTATATAATGTAAGCCATCAACTATTTATACAAAGGGCTGTTATATATATATATATATATATATATATATATATATATCTATGATCGGATTGCACTATTATTGCTATATAATCCTTCTAGCTCAATTAAAAACGTTAATAAGAAGAATTGTGGCATTGGAAATGTACAAAATGTATGTATGTATGTATGTATATATATAAATGTGTAACCTAACAAATACTAAGAACAGGCAATGGGCGTTATTAAGAATGCATGCCAAGTTGTAGGTGAAACTATGCGAGAGACATTCAAGAAGCCAGTATTCTTCCAGTTCTCTAAATTTTATTGGGATTTTTCTTCTAAAATAAAATAACAAAATTGTATGATGAAAGAGACAACATTTACAAAGTTAAATCCCTTCCGTTGGATGGCATGAAAGCCAATAACAGTAGGACAGTTAAAATGGCAATGGGAAGCAGTAAGAGCATGAAAGGCGGTGGAGGCAACGGCGGTAGTATCAATGGAAGGATGAGCAAGGATGCCGTTAGGCATATAAACAGAAGCAGTGATTCCAAGCCGAAGTTACCAGCACGTCCTCGTGAGGGATCATACTCACCGTTTTTTCTCTCGACAACGGACACCGGAACTTTCCCAGCAGCTCTCATATTCATTCGAGGGCAGAATAATCCCACCTTCAGGAAATCCCAACGAGTTCAACTGTTTCTAATTTGTCTGTCACCTCAGATCGAACCCGTTTTCAGCCCCCAATATGGTAAGCAGCAGTTTAAATCCTTTTTTTGAAATGGAATGGTATAGTTAAATAAGAATCCGAAATGTGAGCATGTTCAGGCTATCATCAATTGAAAGTTAGTCCTCGACAAAGGGAATTGAAGGCTCCGATATTAGCCGAGGCTATGCAATGAGTTGCTCTTTCAAACCAGAGCAATTGCAGCAGTGCACTTTAAGCGAATTACAAACAATTCTGGCATTGGGTTGCGTAATTTGGAAGGAAAAAACAAAAGAAATGAGATGCAGAGAAAAAACAGGCATTCGGAAATAAGATGTACAGGAGAAACAAGAACAACAACGGAGCTAATTTAATTTCATTCATCTACATAAAAAGCAGAAAAGATGAGAGAACATACATACCTACCGGTAAGAGTTACAGGTGATTTGCAGAAGGAAGAAACGGATAGGACCTTCCCGGTCAACAACAAAATTTTTCTCTTAAAAAAAGCAAAATTGAGGTCAATAACAATGATATATAACAAAGGGGAAAAGAGAGAGAGGGGGGGAGAAGATGGTCGGGTTCAGTGAACGGATGGGATCAGATATAGCAGAAACAGGCAAGTTGTGTCTTCCAAGGTTCTTCACCCCTGCCCTTGTTTTCAAATTCTAACATCATCGTCTAATTTATTATTTTTTCTCTCCCCCCCCCCCCCAAACTCCCCAAACAAAAAAAGATTTTATATAGCTTTTTCACATTTCTTTTACTTTTTATTTATTTTTTACCAAAATTTTATTCCAATACATGTTTTTCTTATAAATTTTGGGATGAATTTATTTTTGTTCTTTTTTCTTTAATTTCCTGTTTATATATTTTAATCGTTTTATGTTTCGTTAAAACCTTATAAATAATGGTAATTAATTTAAAAACTAATTTAAATTCATCTTAAGATTAACATATAATTGAATTAAACATAAATTTAAAATCTACTTTAAATAAAATAAAATTCAATTTACATAGTATTTTTAATATAATTTTAAAGTTATCAATGTTTTTTTAATTATAGTTGTATTTAAAATTTCTTAGTAAATAGATTTGAAGAGGTTTATGCGATTTTCTTTCTTAAATAATTCCACTTTTCTGGTTTTTCTTGCCGTCCATATTAATTAAGTAATACGGGACCAGTCTTGAAAGGGACTTTGGTTTAGCGCATATAGTTTTATTCAATTATATCAAAAAAATAGGGAAATGTTAAATGCATGCATAGGTAGTTAAGGTGATATTTATAGAAAAAAGCGTGATTAAATGTCTTCTAAATTCAAAAAAAACGTCATATGAATAATATATATATATATATATATATATATACTAATTGTAATCATTTATATTATATAGATTTGTCATTGATTACGAGTTTTAGATGGAGACATATGTGCAATTATTTGTCTACAAAATTCTAAACATAATTTTAAATTCTAAACAATTCTTACATTATGATGAAAGAGAAATAGAATTTTGCTATTAATGAATATAGAATCCATAATTTAAGGAAAAATTAAAGTATTGATCGAAAATTTTTAACTACTTATTCTAAAACTTGTTGACGGTTTATGCAATTTTCTTCCTTAATTTTTCTTCGGTCCATGTTACTTAAGCAATACGCAACCAGTCTTGAAAGGAATTTTGGTTCAGCGTATATAGTATATTCATGAATAATTTTCTAAAAATTATTTATATTTATTTATTAAACTAAATAAATGAGTATGAATAATTTTTATGTTTATTTAATGAACGAATAAACACGAATAAATGAATAAACACCAATAAAAAATATTTTTGGTTCGTTTATATTCATAAATAAACTCATTTATCGACTCATTTATCCAACTTTCATTTCCTTTTATCTTTTTATATTTTAAATATAAGTGAAAGTTAAAGTATAAACTAAATTAAATACATAGTATACTCTGCAATTCAAATTATGAAATTTAATAGTTTAAAGACCGATGGTGTAACTTTATCATTTTGTTGATTTTATTTTATTTAATTTTTTATTTGTTTGCTTAGTTAACATCTACTAACATAAAATTAAATTTATTTGTGAACACTAAATTATCATATTAGAGAATATACAAGCAAGTATGTTTGCGAACACTAAATGAACCAAACACAAATATTTTAAAAAATAAATAAACGAACATGATGTCAAAAATTTAAATGAACACAAATCAAACATGAACAATTTTAAAAATAAATAAACGAATAATAGCATGCATTATTCGTTCAAGTCCGATTCATTTACACTTTTACATCATCAATGTGATTTCTTTTCTAAAAAATATAATAAACTGAATTATATAGACTATTTGTGGTAGATGGACTTTCATTTTAACGATTGATGCAAATCTATCTCTATTGTTGGCAGGCCCGGTCCTGATTATTTGTAAGCTCGAGACGAAAATAAAAAAATAGGCCCCAAATATAAAAAAATTAAAAAACATGTAAAATAAAAATTTTATTAGATTTTTTTATTAAATTAAAAAATAGTAATTCATTACAATATAAAAGATGTCAAAAAAATATATTTAAGAATATAAATACTTATAAAAAATATTACATTCAATCATTTTTTATGCAAAATCATTGATGATAGTATCAACATCAATGCTTTCTAATATATTTTTCTCAATACATAACATAACATTTGAAAATAAAAGAACGATCTTATCTAAAATTTGAAAATATATAAAATTAAAAGAAACAATTTGAAAATGTGGACTACCTCGAATTTTAAGAACAATTTTCAATATGATTCAAGCACCATAGTTAATAATAAACAATTTTGATTTTACGTGTGAGAGAAATATGATAAATTTAAAAACGAGAATAATAATTTTTAGATGAATCGTGAAACATGAAAGAGAAAAGAAGCATGTTAATTATACTTAAATTTTTTCTTCTCATTAAGTTTTGAAAAAAAATAATGTTAATAAATTTTTTTATTGATATGAAAAATTGGGAAAGAGATTTGGTGAATTGATAGTGAGAATTTGGAAAGACCATAATTAAAGAGTTCAATTGAATTTTTTTGAATTTTGAGAAAGAAATATTAAATTATTATTTTATGGAAGAACAATTTATTATCGTTAATATAAAATTCAATAAAGATAATTGACACCTTAATAAATTTATGGGTCTCATTATTTTATTAAGTAAATTACGTGTTTAGTACCTAAATTATCAGTTTTGGTTTGTTTTAGTACTTAAACTTTCAATTTTTTCAAAACCATACGTAAAGTTTAGTTTTTGTTTCATTTTAGTACCCGCCATTAAAAACTTTAGTCTTTTTATTTCATTTTAGTATATATTCAAAATTTAGCGTTAAGTTTTATTCAAACCAAAAATGATAGTTAGGTACTAAACGCGTTAAATTTTAAACGACTGATACTAAAATAAAAACTAAACGTTAAATATGATTTTGAAAAAAATTAAAAGTTTAAGTACTAAAACGGATCAGAACTAATAGTTTAAGTACTAAATTCATAGATTACTCTATTTTATTTTACATTTTTTAATTTATTATTAAAAAAATAAAAAAAAAATTATTTTGTGGGCTCTAGGCGGGCGCCCCTCCTGCCCTGGCCCAGGGCCGACCCTGATCGTTGGTTGTAAGGAGATTCTTTACCTTTGGTACCTCTTAATGAACTTTAGTATCCCCTCTTATTCTTTTTTCTTTGCTTTTAGGGTGCGTTTGTTTAATATAATGTAAGATTATCAATGGGAATATAAGATTACCTTGTTTGGTTAAAGGAATAAAATATTATTGGAATATATATTTGACCAAATTGTCCTTATTATATATTTGTTTTTTTTAACAAGTTGGAAACTATTTATATATTTTCTTTGAAAAAATTAAATTCATAAAATTTATATAAAATTTTATTTTAACTTCTGAACTTCATATAAAATTTTAATTATAGATTTTTTTTTGTAAATTTAAAATAGTTTAAGGATAAATTTGTAATTTAACTTTCGTAGAATTTTTATTATTCAATGACAAAAGAATGATATTTTTGGAAAAAAAATTAAGGGCATTTTAGTCCAAAACGCTGGTAATCCAACAATACCTAAGAAAATGGAGGTAATAATATTCCCGGTAATATACCCCAAAAAATCTATTATTGGTAATAAAATATTACCGGGAATGAGATTCTCGACCAATCAAACATTGAAATCTCACATTCCTTGAACCAAACAGCCCCTATTGTATCTCTTTATGCTTTAGTGACATCTCCCGAGTGTTAAGCTTTTACATTTTTCAAAGTTTTTAATGATTTGTTTTATTAATTTGTTAGAATTAAAGTTTTGGGCTCGAATTTCATCAATTAAGATTACACAAATTATTGGACATGTCCTTATTGATGTGACATATTGTATTGCATGATGTCTATAAATATATGTTCGACTTAGGCTTTTTTCCCGAAATATCACCTATACCCTATATATTTCCCTATCGGCACCCTTCATACTATATTTCCCGATCTAACACCCTTTGCAGTAAAGCGTGTCCCCTACAGTGCGCTTTACGCTAATCTAATGCCATGTGGGGTAAGGCGCCCCTGAAGCGCGCTTTATGTTGAGTTGGATAAACGTGCCTAAAGCGTGACCCCTAGGGCGCGCCTTACGCCACGTAGGACTATAAAGCGGGGCAGGGGCCGCGCTTTTCAATTATCACATGCTCAATTATTAGACATGCATAATGCAAGACGCGGTGCAGGGACCGCACCTTGCATAATTTGCCGGAACTTCTTGGCTTTAAAGCATCCTCTCTTGGCTATAAATAGCCCTCTCCCCGTAAACTCTCTCACAATTCACTCTCAACCGAGAAATTAATACAACAATCCTTTCAACCAGTAAATAACACCCCACAATCATCTTATATTTGATTCAGAAGTTCGTTCGATATTTCGTTATAAGATAATTTTGTTATAATATTTTTTTATTATACTTATTGTTTATTATGATAAAATAAATTAAAATTAAAATAAATCCAACCAAATTAACGAAATAAAATAAGTATTAAATAATAAATAAATAAAAAATTACAATAAAAAAGTCTAATAAACAACTAAATACAAATATAATAAAAAAAAAAAATTTATCGATGTCTGCGACGCGAATGTGCTCCGCAGGGCGGTGACTGTCGGTCTCGAGGAGAATTTCTTCGTATCACTGGTTGTGACTCCTAGCTGTCATTACCATCATCAACATCGTCGTCGTCGTTTTCGTCTTGAGCAGCTACATTAGGTTGATGAGGAGTTGATGACGATGAAACACCTCCATAGAATAAGAACCCTAGAGGTGTATGACTGACTATCCCACCGGCCTGGGAAAACTCATAAAACCCAAACATCGCTGAGTGTGAAAATTGTACAGGAAATGTCTGTGTTACGGCCATTGGTGATGAGACTGAACCCGCTAAAATGTGGGCATATGAACCCCAAATCGGATATACAAATATAGACCCATAATATCCTCCAGAAGGGGTCATAAAACTCTGTGACAGTGGCGGGGGGGTCATAAAACCAGGTGACAGTGGCGGCGGCGGCATCAGGTAACGGAATGACGGTGGCGGCATCACA